GTTGATGAGGTGTGCCCCTCCCTCCCCTGGAAGTTTCCCTCAACTGCCAATCCTATCCCCCCTTCCTAGCAGTTTCCCACTACTGCCAATTCCTTTCTTATAGTATTATGATAATTGTTCAAGGTCCACTTATGAGTGAGAACATATGATACTCTCTTCTTTGTTTTTGTGATAGATCACTGAGTATGATAGACTCTAAATCCATCCAAGTTGCTGCGAAGTCCATATGTTGGTCCTTCTTTGTGGCTGTATAATATTCCATTGTGTATATGTACCACTTTTTTTTTTTTTATCCAGTCCAGTTTCAGTGGGCAGCTTGGTTGGTTTCATGTGTTTGCTGTTGTGAATAGAGCTGCAACAAACATGCATGTACAGGTATCTTTTTTGTAGAATGATTTGAGTTCCTCTGGGTATATTGCCAATAGGAGGATTGCTGGGTCATATGGAAGGTCAATTTCTAGTTCTTTCAGAAATCGCCACACTGGCTTCCAAAGAGGTTGCACTAGTTTGCATTCCCACCAGCAGTGTAGAAGAGTTCCTTTTTTGTCTGCATCCTCACCAGCATCTGTTGTTGTTTGTTTTATTAATGATATCCATTCTTATCTTACTGGGCTTAGGTGGTATCTCAGTGTGATTTTGATTGGCATTTCTCTGATGATTAGTGAGGGTGAGCACTTTTTCATGTGTCTGTTGGCTGCCTGTATATCTTCTTTTGAGAAATGTCTATTCATGCCTTTTGTCCACTTTTTAATGGGGCTGTTTGTTTTTTCCTTTTGGTGTGTTTGAGTTCCTTGTAGATCCTAGATGTTAGGCCTTTGCTAGATACACAGTTGGCAAATATTTTTTCCCATTCTGTGGGCTGTCTCCCTGCTCTCTTGATGGTTTTTTTTTGTTTTGTTTTGCAGAAGCTCATCAGTTTGATGAAGTCCTACTTGTCTATCTTATTTCTTATGGTGTGGACACTTAGGGTTTTGATCAGGAATTGGTTGCTAGTTCCAATTTCCATAACGGTGTCTCCTGCATTTTCTAAGATTCTTATAGTTTGAGATATGTTTAGGTCTTTGATCCATTTAGAGTTCATTTTTGTGCATGATAAAAGGTAGAGGTCCTGGGAAAGTATTTCCTATTAATGTAGCTACCTCAACCTTCTCTCTCTCTCTCTCTCTTCCTCTTTTTTTTTGGTTAGTGTTTGCTTGATATATCTTTTCTCATTCTTTCAACCTTTCTGTGAACTTTTTAGATATGTCTCTTTTAAACATCACACGGTTGGTATTTGTTTTGCATCCAACCTAACTATCTATTATGTATGTATGTATGTATGTATGTATGTATGTATGTATGAATGTATGCATGTATGTTGAAGTCTCACTCTGTCACCCAGGCTGTATTGCAGTGGCATGCTTGTAGCCACAACCTTGACCTGCTGGGCTCAGGCAATCCTTCCACCTCAGCCTTCCAAGTAGCTAGAACTACATGCATGTGCTACTCACGCTCAGCTAATTTTTTTATTGTAGAGACAAGGTCTTGCCAAGTTGTCCAGGCTGGTCTCAAACCCGTGGGCTCAGGCAATCCTCTTGCCTCTACCTCTCAGGGTGCTGGGATTACAGCCTGGGATTATATCACACCCAGCTCAATTTATGCTTTTTAATAGAACTACTCTGTTCATTAACATTTGTGATTAGTGAAACACTTGGGTTCATTTCTTCTATCATATTTTTTGTTATGGATTTTCTGAGTTCTATTTCTAATCTCCCTCCCTCCTTCTCTTTCTTTGTCCTTCTTTTGAAGTCACTAAGATATTTTCTGAGTTCTTTTGGTTTTCTTCTAGTGTTTTAAAAATTTACTTCAGTTTCTTTCAGTGATTAGCCCTTTGTTTTTTGTTTTTTTTTTTGAGTTGGAGTCTCACTCTGTCGCCCAGACTGGAGTGCAGTGGCCACTCCCGGCCACCACAGCCTCTACCTGCTGGGCTCCGGTGATCCTTCCGCCTCAGCCTTCCGAGTAGCCGGAACTACAGGCATGCACTACCACGCCCGGCTGATTTTTTGATTTATTGTAGAGATGAGGTCTCGCTGCCCAGGCGGGTCTCGAACCCACGGGCTCAGGCAATCTACTCACCTCAGCCTCCCAAAGGCGCAGGTTTACAGGCTGAGCCACCGAGCCCGGCGTGATTAGCCCTTTTAAAGCATGCTTTGATGACTGTCTTTCTCTCCTGAACAGTAGAATGGTCTTAGGATGAATATTTTTATACTTATATCCTAGATTACATTCATTCGTGGACTGTATCTTAGTTCTGTTGAAAGTTTTTCAAAAAACCTCATATTTTAGGCATTTTAATCACTACTTTACCACCAGTGTTTACTTCTGTGTACTCACATCTCCCTTTACTTACTATCTCTCCTTGTACCTGAGAACATTCTTCTGAGATTATTTTCATTTTTCCTGAAGTCTCTCCTTCATATTCTTTTAGTTCAGGTTTGTGTTAAAATTTCAGTGGTTTTCTTTGGCATTATTTTTACTTTATCCCCTTTGCTGAAAATCTTTTTGCTGGGTTTGTAGTTCCACATTTATTATTATTTTATCTCTGTACTTGCAAAATGGAATTTCCCTGTCATTTGGTTTCTATTTTTTTACTGAAAGCTGAGCTTTCAGCGTAGTTACTCTTTTGTAGATAGCATGTCTTTTTTTCTGACTGTTTATAAAATATTTTTGTCTTTGGTTTTCTAGTTTGTGTGTGATGTGTATAGATTTGTATTGATTTTTATTTATCTTTCTTGAGTTTTTTTGGTGTGTGCTTCCTGAATCTGAGGGTTTATATATACTCATTTTTGAAAAGGTCTGAGCCACTGTCTTTCTGAAAATTTTTTTTTTCTTAATTCTTTCTATTCTTTTTATTTTATTTTATTTTATTTTTTTGAGTTGGAGTCCCACTCTGTCACCCAGACTGGAGTGCAGTGGCGGCTCCTGGCTACAGCAGCCTCGACCTGCCGGGCTCCAGCGATCCTTCCGCCTCAGCCTTCCAAGTAGCTGGAACTACAGGCGCGCGCTACCACGCCCAGCTAATTTTTTTGATTTATTGTAGAGATGAGGTCTCGCTAAGTTGCCCAGGCGGGTCTCAAACCTGCGGGCTTAGGCAATCCACTCACCTCAGCCTCCCAAAGCGTGGGATTACAGGCTGAGCCACCGAGCCTAGCTCTGTTCTTTTTTTATGGAACCCTACTTGGAAGAATGTTGAACTTTCTGACTTCAGTCTCCAGGTACTCAAACCTTTCTTTCTTCCTTTTTTCTCTTTTGGTATAGTTTCTTTAGCTTTATTTTCTATTTTGTATTTCTCCTCTCCTATGTGTCTACCCTTGTGTTTTATGTTTTGATTATTATAGTTTTCATTTGTTATAAATTCTGCTGTTATTGTTGAATTGTTTAATCATTCATAATAGTAACCCTGGCTTCTTGATCATGTTTTTAATTTAAAATTATCTTCACCTATTAAACATACCCATTTTCTATTCTGCAGTTGATGCTTCTAGTATTTGAAAAAAATTTGGTTCTGGCCCTGTCATTGGTTCTTTGTGTTACTTTTTAAAAATATGTTTTATTGCTGGGAACAGTGACTCAAGCCTGTAATCCCAGCACTTTGGGAGGCAGAGGTGAGAGGATTTTCTGAACCTACAAGTTCGAGAACAGCCTGGGCAACTTGGTGAGACCTCATCTCTACAATAAATCAAAAAAATTAACTGAGTGTGGTAGCACACTCCTGTAGTTCTAGCTACTTGGAAGGCTGAGGTGGAAGGATTGCCTGAGCCCAGCGGGTTGACGCTGGGGTGGCTGTGAGCGTGCCACTGCACTCCAGCCTGTGCGACAGAATGAGACTACAATTTTTTTTAAAAGTTTTATTATGATTTTTATTATAAACTCACATTTATTAGTATTGTATTGTGGGAATTCTTTGATAACTAGATTGAGATCCTTTTCTTTAATGTCTAGGAAACTGAGGAGAGCTCCTGTCCTAGGTCTACTATATGTTAAAATTACTGCTTGGGAATTTTTCAGCTTGCCAAAAATTGGATTCATGCTCAGCTTGAAAGTTTACTCTTCTGGCTTTCTGCACTGCCTGTGATCCGAATGCCTGTCTGTATCTGTCTGAGGCTTTTCCTTCTGTCCCTTAGCATGAAGCCATTATAACTGAAGCTCTAGTCTTCTGGAATCTATCATTTACATGTATCTCCCAGAATTTGTGCTCTCACTTTGTTCCTGGCTGGAATGTTTTTCTTTTTATTTATTACAAGTTCATTTATTATGTTAAAAGACTTTCCAAAATAATTGTCTAGGCTTTTATGTTGTTTGGGATATCTATTCTATAGTATTTGCAGAAAACAAAGTTCTATCATTTCCAACTTTCATTAGACTCTGCCTTGTCAGTCGTAGTTTAATTCCTGAAACAACTTGTGAAGTCCTATTCTATTCAGTAGACTGCTTTGTTGGTTGTGAGGTATGGTTGAGGTTGTAGTACTCTTTATCCCTCATGCTGTGGATTAAGCAGTTTTATATGTTCTGACCTGGCTACCTAGATGTCATGTTTAGTGTTTGTTGAGTGAAAAGATACCATTAGATTTTAGATAGCGGAATTGAACTTTGAGAGTACAGTACACATATGAATTGAGGGTTACTTGTCTATTAATGCAGGATGGAGAATAAAAGAGATCAATATTGTGAGATTTCCTGTGAGGTCCTGTTGGAGTCTCTTGATCATGTGAGCCTATAAAAGGTGGTATTATGGGGTAACATTGCTAAAGTTTCCCTTTTTCCTGTTGCCTCACATAGACAAACATTACTTTGTATACCTTTTACTTACTATACCTATTATCCAGATTGTAGAATTGGATGTTTGAAATGTGAAGAACACTCTAAACTGTTAAAAATGTCTCTTAACTATGAGAAATATTTAGTGTGAAATGTAGTGTGGATGGACCAGTATTCCAACACTATTTTCTTTTACATTTCAGGTTAATGCTGATGTCCCTGTACAATGTGAGCATCAATTTGAAAGGCTTGAAATATATCAGCGAGAGTCCAGGATTCATCCCTTTGCTGTGGTGGCTTTTGAGTGGTAAGGTGGTGGTCATCTGTACAGCTCCTTGTGCAGTTTATGCAGGTGTTTTATATATACGCAGTGTGTATTTTACATAGTAATACACACACACACATATATGTACACATACATACTATATTTTCCCTATGCATGCATATCTATGATAAAATTTAACATATAATTAGGCACAGTAAGAGATTAACAACAGCTAATAGTAAAAGAGAATGATTATAATAAGCCAGCGCCACTACTCTTGTGCTTTGGGGCTGTTATTAAGTAAAATAAGGGTGACTTGAACACAAGTGCTGCCATACTGCAACAGTCGACCTGATCACTGAGACAGCTACTAAGTGACCTAAAGGGTGCATGGTGTATACACCTGCATATGCTGAACAAAGGGATGATTCACATCCCTGGTGGGATGGAGTGGGATCATGAGATTTCATCGTGTTACTTGGAATGATGTGTGATTTAAAACTTATGAGTTGTTTATTTCTGGAATTTTCCATTTAATTTTTCCTGACTGTGGTTGACTGTGAGCAAAAAACTGTGGAAAGTGAACGTGGGGATAAGAGGGGGCTACTGTACACTTGTTCCTGTGTAACTGGAGAAAGTTTGATAGTATTCGAAAGTAGGAGTGATCATCTCAATATGTTCATTCTTTAAAAAAATTATTTCAGATTATAAAGAAAATTCATTGGTATGCTAAGATGTTTTTAGTTCTGTTTTGAAGTATTGCTTTCAATTTACTGATGATTGTATAAAGAAAAACTTTCTATAAAACATCTAGTAAGTAGCATCAACTTATCCCATTCTTCATGAACAATATGTAGACTATGTGGCTCTGAATATCAGGAAGAAGACCTATTATTAAATAATTTTGATAGAAAGAAATTGTCGAGGGGTACACATGTATAGTATATGTGTGTTTTAAAATTTTCTTTAAAGTAAATGACTTTACTGCTTCTTTTCCTCTTCACTCTTACCACCAATTTAACCTAAAGCTTTGTCCCAATGTCATTATAATTTTAACACTATATATTTAATGGGTATACATTTCACTCAAGTGTGCCAACAAATTGACCTTTCTTGTTTCATAATTCAAATTAGTCTCTATCTTTGAGCTTTAGTTCCACATGGTGATGAATGCTTATTTTTTTAAACAGCTTTATCGAGTTATAATTGACATGCAATAAACTGTATATTCACTTGTAAAATTATTACCAAATTCAAGATAATGAGCAAACCCATCAACCTCAAAGGCACTTTGTGCCCTTCCTTCCTTTTAGCATCTTTGCTCCCCGCTTTCCAGAGCCACTCATCTCCTTTCTGCACCATAGTTTAGTTTTCATTGTCTACAGTTTTATATAAATAGATATGTATTGCTCCATTTTGCATTGCTATAAAGGAATACCTGAGACTGGGTAATTTATAAAGAAAGGAGGCTTATTGGCTCATGGCTCTGCGTGGCACTGGCATCTGCTCAGCTTCTGGTAAGGCCTCAGGAAGCTTTTACTTGTGGCAGAAGGCAAGGGGAGCTAGAATGTCACATGGGGAGAGCAGGAGCAAGAGAGAGAGAGAGAAGGAGGTGCCAGACTCTATTAAACATTTAACTCTGGTGTGAATTAATAGAACAATAACTCATTACCACAAGAATAGCACTTAGCTGTTCATGAGGGGGTCTGCCTCCAGATTCAATCACCTCCCTCCCTCAAGCTCCATCTCCAACCAGAAACCACATTTCAGCATGAGATTTGGAGGAGACAATGTCCAAACTATATCAGGAATCATAAAATTTGTATGTTTTCCTCGCTTCTTTCACTCAGCATAATCTGAGATTCATCCATGTTGCTGAGTGTATTAATAGTTAATTACTTTGTTTTGCTAAATAGTATTCCATTATGTGGATATACCACAATTGGTGTATTTATTCAGCTATTGATGGAATTTTGGGTTGTCTCCAGCTTTTGGCTAGTATAAATAGAGATGCTGTGAGCATTTTTGTACAAGTCTTTATGTGGACATCCTTCTTTCATTACTCTTGAGTAAGTGCCTAGGAGTAGAATGGCAGAGTCATATGGTAGGTGTATATTAGTTTTGACAGAACTGTCACCCTGTCTTCCAAAGTGGTTGTACTATTTTACATTCCCACCAACAATGTATTAATGTTCCAATTGCTGCATAGCTTCACCAATGCTTAGTATGGCCATTCTGTTTAATTTTAGACATTCCAGTAAAGGAATAGTGGTATATCACTGAGGTTTTAATTTGCATTTTTGTTATGACTGGTGATGCTGAGCAACTTTTTATGTGCTTGTTTTCCATCCATAGAGCTTTGAGGAAGTGTCTGCTCATAAGTTGTAGTCATTTAAAAAATGATAGGGTTGATTCTTACTATTGAGTATTGAGAGTTCTTTATATATTTGGTATGTGAATCTTTTGTCAGATATATTGAAAAAAATTTTTTTTCCAGTTTGGCTTGTCTTTCACTCTCTTAAGAGCATCTTATAAAGAGCAAAATAACTGAATTTTGATAAAGTTTAATTTATCATTCCTTCTTTTATGAATCTTCATTTTGGTATAGAAATTTTTGCCCAAATCAAGGTTTCAAAGGTGTTTTCCTCTAATGGTTTTATAGTCATGCATTTTACATTTCGATATATGATTTGTATTGATATTTGTATGTGGTAAGAGATGTTTCTGTTTGTTTTTTGCATAAGGCTGTCTAGCTGATCCAGCACCATTTGTTTTGAAGGCTCCTTTCTCCAGTGAACTGTCTTTGCACCTCTATAGAAAATCAGTTGATATATGGTGGGGGTGGGGGGTTGCCAAAAAAATGCATACACATTTTAAGTATGATGTTTACTAAAAAGATGGAATTAATCAAATGAATGCTAGTGTCACCATGTGACAGTCAGAACAGTCAAAGAAAATGACAGAAGCGCGATAGAACAAATGTCATACTACACATTGCTACCATAATTTAATTCAACTTTGAAAAGTAATACATAGATAGCATCTCTTAAAATGTATTTATATTTTTATGGTACCCCCATATATAAAGGTCTAGTTTTGGAATCATAATATTATGTTCCATTGATTCATTTTTGTGTCATTATGCCAGTCAATATCATGCTTTATAATAAACCTTGATGGCTTTATACTATATCTTAAAGTCAGGTAGTGTACATCCTCCAAGTTTGTTCTCCTTTTTCAAAGTTGTTTTGGCTATTTTTAAGCCCTTTGCCTTTCCATATGAATTTGAGAATCAGCTTGTCAATTGCCACGAAAAAAATCTTGTTGGAATTTTTATTGGTATTGTGCTGAATCAACAGTTCAGTTTGGGGGATAATTGACATTTTAGCAATAGTGAGTCTTCCAATCCATGAACACAAGTGTTCATTTATTTAGATATTTTTGGAGCACAGGGATCACTCCTTTTTCTTCACATATTAGGAGCAGAGGAACTGACCTCCTTTGTTTCTGGCTGTCTTTTCAAGGATGTGTGTTAGGGAATATCCTGAGAAGAAAGAGATACTGTCTCCCTCCAAACCAAAGGATGGGTTTGTTTATACCCATGTAATAAAGATAATGTTTCCATCTAGGGCAAAGGGCGTTATTCCCATTATAAAATATTTGATTTCCCTGAGCTTGGGGTTCCTCTCCTGTGATGCAGCCCATGGCATGTGGATGACCCTGCAGAATTGCATCTTCAGCCAGCGTAAATGCTGATACTCTGGCTGTGGCTGCTGCTGTAACAAAGTTCTTTGTCTCGGAATCAAGAGTCTGTGTCTTCTGCCAGCATCTGTGAAATTGTACCATGCTAACTTGTTAGCTTGCAAGTGTGGTACAGCCCTAGACCTTCCACAATTTGAGGGGGCTACATTTGTACTCCATGATAACACTTGTCCACCAGGGTTGGATACTTGGCGAGACAGCATTCTTTCCTCTTGAGAATTGTAAAATCAGAATTGATTTCTAGACCTGACTTATAGGACAACTATCTAGGCTGGTTGTTATGGGCCATGTGCAAGCAGACAATGCCAGTTTGTGGTATGTAGTGGTAGTGTGAGAGAGAGGACAATTAAATAAGAATACCTAATACTTTTTGAATGCCAGTCACTGCTTTAAGTGTATTACATACATTCACAGATTTATCTCTGTGAATATGCCTATAAAGTAAATATTGTTTCTATTTTATAGAGGAAGAGGTTGAGGCATGTGGAGGCGAAGCAACTTATCCAGGATAACACAGCTACTAGGTGGTGGTGCTAGGATTTGAAGCCCTGACTGCCTAGCTCCAGATCCTGTCCCTTAACCGCTCTATGGGACTGCTTTTCAGCAGGAAGTGTGTTGGAGATGAATGCCTTAGTTCTGGATAACCTCTCATCTTTAGTTGACACTGGGTTTGGCATCACTTTGCTTCAGAGACAGTTGCCTTTAAACAATATGTCCGTCTCTATTTAGGCTACCTTGCAGACAGCGATCCTTCAGCCTCTGAATTGTTTTCTTTGTCATAAAAAGAGGAGCTTAAACTACATGTTCTCTATAGCCTTTCTAGCTGTGGTACTTCAGAAGTTTCCTGGGGTGAATGAAAATTGTTTTGACTTCTATCTTAATTTATGCAGCTCTGTCTGTAGGAAGCAACTCAAGAATGTTAGTTCTTGACACTCTTCAGAGTGTTCTTTGACTCAGGTGGTTTTTTCCTGCTTAACCTTTAGGTTATGGACAATATGGGGTCGTTGTTAAGTTGTGTTAATGCAATTTTTTGCTTTTGGGGAATCCCATGCTTTCTTATCCATGAAGACAATTACTGGTTCTTTCAACATAGTGAGTATAGCCCCAAACACCATAATTCTATTATAAGGTCATCTTAACTGATATTTTCAGAATCATTCGTTCTAAAGTCAAACAAAATAAGGTCTACATAAGCCCAGAGTGTTTGACCCCTGAGTTATGTATGAAATTACTTTAACTTAAAAATTTCCATTTGTGAAGCAAACATAATAATCACTACA